ATTTGTGAGTACCGCACCGTGATGAAGAAGACATTTAAAAACTCAAACAAATAAGAGAAGCGCGATCTGTCGCGAGTGGCTCACTGATTTGTAAAATCGTGGCTCATAGAAACCAGACGAAGTTCCTGTGAAAATACCTAAAACCCGAAGGATTTCCAGCCCCAAAATGTAGGTAAGCGAGAAGATATCAGAGTTATTCTCAGCGTGACTGCGACTCAAAATGTTTGAATGCGCATTTTTGATCGCGCCCTGGCTTCGAGCTTTGTCGTGCGCCAATTATGCACCAAGGAGTGAAAGCGATAGATGCAGTCGATAGTCAAGGTCTTTCTGAAGACGTAGAGCCCTCATTTGTAATAATCCGACGAACTCAAGATATGGTGAGCCAAGGAAAACAATTGTAACATGGAAATTGTGGGCACAAATTATGCGATCGAGTCCACCAACTATTAGTATACCAGATTTTGAATAGTCAGACGTGCACAATCTAGCACAAAACTGACAAGGAGTGCTGAGACATTCCATGGCATGAAAGTCAGCTTGAGCACTGCTCGATAGCGCTAGCTAACACCCTTCCAACTTGGAAGGTTCATGGATAATAGTGCTAATTCCAAAGTGGTGAAGGCAAGCGCCATCGAGCCGAGCACAAGCTACATTCCAAGGCTTCATGAAATGCTGGCCTGGTACAATAACGGGACGACAAGACCAGACAGAACGGTCCAATGACAATTCGACAAAGCAAAGCCACAACCACCCAACTTGGGTGGCTCAATATTATCAGAAATGAATATAGGAAGGGGAAGCTTCGCGGGGGCGGATTGTAACAAACCGAACACCGATATCCTACTGTGCTGTACTTAGTTGATGACAATGATGGACTACTAAATACATGAGCATGACATAGTATCACACTCGATCGACTCGATAGTGGACTCGATCGACTCGATAGTGGACTCGATCGACTCGATAGTGGACTCGATCGACTCGATAGTGGACTCGATCACATAACTTGTGCCCACATTTTTCCATGTTGCAAAATCCCTTTACTACCTAATTTCCCAAGACTCTTATTCCTCAGGATTTGTGGCCTAACTATTTTTTTCCCCTTTTTCGGCTGAAATCTGAACATAATAGGGAGCTCTGATGACGTCATTCTGGTCAATCGCAAAATTCGATATCGAGAAGTGATGACAAATAATCCGTTAAGTTAATTAACACAGAAAGAAAATCAGGTACGCCAAAGATATTGTCATTGATAGGGCTGCAACGGGTAGAGGTTTGGTCGGGCAATGGGTTCGGGTATTTTTATCCGGGTAGCACGGGTACCCTATCGGGCATCTTTGACACAGCATGTACTGTGAGTGTGCACTTGCGCTGCATAGAAAGTGGACAGTAAGCAGGTATCCATTCTGTTTACATGCACCGTTGCAAAACACCGTACTCCGACTACCCGATCTGGTTCTCAGGAGCAAATTGCCACCCTGCTACCCGATCAAATTACGGGTAGCACGGCTACCCTACTACTCTTTGACACCCCTAATTGTCAATACAAATGTTATTAACTCGGATGGTGAGCCAATTAATCAATCAGGTCGCCGAATGTCTCAGTACTCCTTGTCAGTTTTGTGCCATTTTGTCGCACTCGCTGACTGTAGAAGATCTGGTTACGTTGGTGGACAGTTAGTCATATCTCGTAACATTTTGTCCTTCTTCTTTTCACAAATGTTAATTGAAACTCGGATGTTGAGCCATAAATAAATGTGGAAAAGAAGAGGACATATGGATACAAGTTAAGAGTAACTCTCCATCACTGTAACTGGATACTATATGAGCCAGCGCACGCGAAAAGGGTGCTTAGCTCACTGCACACTGAACTGAGAAAAACGCGTTTGAAGTTGCACTTCAAATTTTCACGATTTCGATCAACTTACGCAGATTTCAAGCGGGCTTACACTAGTAAGCTGGCGATTCCGTGTGATTTCGTTTAGCTTTCGAGATAGCCATCACACTCAGCTGTCATGTACTTTTCACAGATCAAAAATCGGCCCACGCATCGTCGTGCAACATTGATTTTCACGGATGGGTGCATGCACTCGATCAGTGCTTTTTCATCGCGCTTTGAAGTTTTAGTTTGATTCTCCTTCGATGCGCTTCAACTTTGTTCAAGCCTTGTCTTCAACATGGCCAGTCGTCGTTGTTTCACGGTGGATGAGACACTAGCTGCTGTACTTGCTGGCGGTGTTCATCGACTTGCGCAAAGCACGGATGGGTGCATGCACTCGATCAGCGCTTTTTCATCGCGCTTTGAAGTTTTAGTTTGATTCTCCTTCGATGCGCTTCAAGCCTTGTCTTCAACATGGCCAGTCGTCGTTGGTTCACGGTGGATGAGACACTAGCTGCTGTACTTGCTGGCGACGATGATGAATTTACGTACGGGGATACGCTAAAGTACGTGGATACGCGAAATGTGTACTTGCTGGCGACGATGATGACTTTACTGGCGCTGCTGCTGATGTCAGCGATGCTGATGAGGAAGACGATGATAGCGAGAATTTGGAGCACTTCCTGGACAGAGCTGACAACTCGACAGCTTTAGCGGCTGATTTTCTGGACCTGAACATGGATGCTGAAGAAGCTGTTGTTGAAGAGGAGCAGCAAGGACATGCTCAGCCTCAAGCCGCTGCTGCAGCTGCTGTAAAAGGTTGTTGCAAACAGAATTGTTTGGAGAAATTTAGCGCTGCTGACATTCAAGCGTCCATTCTTTCGATGCACGAGCTTGAGAAGCCTGAGAGCGATATTTTCATTCTTGGGCTTTTGTCGTCCTCTGCGCAGCACACTGCCCACACTGACCAGCCTGGGAAGAGGAAAAGACAAAAAAATGTGTACTCGTTTCAAGGTCTGCCGGTGTGCGGTGCGCGTCACTGCGTTCCGTCATGTATTCAATATCGGCACAAAGCGCATGGACAACTTGCGCAAGCACTTTGAGCAGCATGGTATTGAGCCCAGGACACATGGCAATACTCATCGCCGTCCTCACAATGCCCTCCATTTCGCCGATGTGAAACGATGTGTGGAATTTATATCAGCGTTCGTTCAGGACTTCGGTATACCACATCCAGCGCCGTTACGTGGTCGTGCTGATACACCGCCAGTGTATTGAGCCCAGGACACATGGCAATACTCATCGCCGTCCTCACAATGCCCTCCATTTCGCCGATGTGAAACGATGTGTGGAATTTATATCAGCGTTCGTTCAGGACTTCGGTATACCACATCCAGCGCCGTTACGTGGTCGTGCTGACACACCGCCAGTGTTTCTCCCTGCATATTTGACGTACAAAGCCGTTCACCACTGTGAACTTAAATTTTCTCTCTCAATCAATCAGATTTGCTTCTCTGAAATTTAATCTCCCTTTTTCTCTTTATACTACGAGTAATTTACTGACTGTGTACCACCATTGCATGTGTATCATGCATTGCTGGATTTGCCTTTTGCGGCACATTGATATTCTGGCCGGGACTAGCCAGTCCTCACTAATAATGTCGTAAACACTACAAATTGTGTGAAGTGTTTGGTCTAGAGATGCTTCTTACCTGATACTTACATGGCTCTTTGGTGCTAGATGGCAAACCATGACAAAATATTGTCCAGAATGATTCTCCGTTACATCTGTTGCAACTAGCGTGGCAGGCGTGCTTTTGTGTTTGCGACCGCCAGACCGCAACCAACACAAATGCTTGTAACTTAGTTTTTACTGGGAGTTTTTGACTAATTTTTTTTTTAAATGATTTGTGAAGCTTGCAGGTATATGGTGCACTAAAAAACCCAATTTCCAAAATTTGAGGCTAAGCACCCTTTTCGCGTGCTCTGGCTCATATACAGTCAGAAAGTGCAATAACTAGGCACAAAACTGACAAGAGTACTGAGACATTCGACGTCCTGACACCTAGCTTCAACACATTTCCGTAGCGCTAACCGACAGCCTTCCAACTTCGAAGGTTCAAGGTTATGGAAATACCAAAGAAGGGAAGGCAAGCGCAACGAAAACGAGCAAAAGCTACAGTCCCAACGAAACAAAGAATGTCGATTGTTACTGGACAATGACGAGACCAGTACGATATTTGACAAAGCGGTCTAACTACAATTCGAAGCAGCAAAGCAGCACACCACCCAACTTGGGTGGGTTATTATTATTATTATTTATTCATATTTTAATAGGGCAGTCCCCACAGACTCAAAGTCTTCTTACAGGGTACCCTAAGGATGAAAATGAATGAAATGCGTGACAGGTGATGACCTGAATGGTTTACCCTTTCGGGGTTTATGACGAGTATACTCGTCATGCAGACCCCATTGCATCTGCTTGATGAATGCAGTTCATGGTGATCCCCGAGACTTAAATAAAGGAGCACACCCCATCTCACCAGCACAGCTCTCACAGCGCCTATGCAACCGTTGTTCCTCTGGTGTGTTTCTTTCACCTTGTTTCCCTTTTGCCTTTGTTGTTTGCAGTGTCATAAACAAAAGAAAAGAAAAAAACAAACTGGCGCATTGACAAGGTTATGGTTACATTTGGAGCCATGCTTGTAGAGGGTTGCTATGGTTACATTTGGAGCCATGCTGGTAAAGTGGTAGAGGGTTGCAAGAGCTGAGACTCCAGCCATGCTGGTAGAAGGTTGCAAGAGCTGAGACTCCAGCCATGCTGGTAGAGGGTTGCAAGAGCTGAGACTCCAGGCATGCTGGTAGAGGGTTGCAAGAGCTGAGGCTCCAGCTCTGGACAACTGGACTTTGATTTGAATGCGCGATATTCGAAATTCACTGTGATATACATCATTATGTTATGTTACCTTTATTTTACTTCACCATAGGTACAGGCATTGCTGCCTTCTTGCTGCAGATCATAAAAATATAATGATGCCACAGCTCCTAGGCTATGATTACAGGTAAGGTTTTTTAAACCTCGGTCTGCATCCTACAAGAAATGTTCATCCTGGGTACATACCATTGTCTTGCCCTGTAGCTATGTTTGGTCCTGCCAAGAAGCCGGGTGGTCGATTCTACAAAATGCGATTGGGGATGATCACCTTGAAGCATGGAGCAAGCACAGCACAGAGAGGAGAAATGATTAGTTCATGAACAGATTGCAAGCCTGCAAGATCTGAAACCGTTGGCTTACAAATGTGTACCTTAGAGGACTTCACTACTCGTGTCTGTTACAACTTATGTACCATGTGACTTACATAGCACTATTTACCACGTGACTTACATAGCACTATGTACCATGTGACTTACATAGCACTATGTACCATGTGACTTACGTAGCACACGACTGGCTACGACATACACTGGCTTTGTACGGTCCATTTCATGGAACGGATATAAAAGTCAAGCTGGAAACAAACGTGAAGCCACCACATCCTGGGAGCGTAGCGCCGTTCTTTTCTAAGTTCTCTTGTAGCGATGGCCGGTCACGACAGGTAATGGACCTGCTTGCGATGTGGTGCGCTCGCAATGTTCGTCCAATGTCAATAATCGAAGACTCTGGCTTGAAGGACGTTTTCAAATTCGTTGAACCAGGCTACTGGATGCCATCACATACCCATGTGACAAACATTCTGAAAAGAAAATTTGATGTCGTGTTGGAGAAAGTGAAGGATCTCCTGGCTGATGTGGATGCAGTGTCCTTCACCACAGACATATGGACTAGCCATGCAATGCAAGGGTACATGTCCCTGACGGCTCATTTTCTTCGCGATTGGTCCATGGTGTCGCTGTGCATTGGTACCGGGTTATTTCCTGAGCGGCACACGGCGGATAACATTGCGGACAAATTTGCTGAGTTGACAGCCGCGTCCAACATCCAGCCATCAGCTAAGGTTGCTCTTGTCCATGACTAAGCCTTGAATATGGAAGTCGCTGGTCGGCATCTTGAAGTTGATCTGCCGAACGTCTCGAGCGTCACCTGCGCAGTACACCACCTGCAAAATACAATCATGCGCGGCCTGGAAACAGCTACTGTCAGCAAGCTATCGGGATCTACACACTGCTGTGTATCGCACTTCAAGCACAGTGTTGTGGCCATGGAGGGTATCCAGGATCATCAACAACAGACTGGCGATAAGCAATTGAAATGTGTCCAGGAAGTCGTGACTAAAGGGAACTCAAGCTTGAACATGCTTGAACGGCTCATCCTGCTGCGCCGTCACATTACTGCTGTGTTAAGCGACCCTGCCGTGACCAAGCCAGGAGACCAGGGACTCGGTCTGTCTGCCTCCCAGTATACACTAGCCGAACAGCTTGTGGCATTGCTCAAACCATTCGAGGTGACCACAAGTATCTGGAGTGGAGAGTCATATGCCACGATTTCATGTATTGTCCCCATGGCTATGGAATTGGCTGAACACCTTCAGGACAACGATGATGACATTGCTGCCATTGCACGATCCAAGAGTGCAATGCGCATTGACCTGCTGAATCGCTTCCATCTCCAGGCTGACACAGTTAACTTGAAGTGCATTGTTGCAGCACTAGATCCAAGCTTCAACCGCCTCGACCGGTTTGATGCCGAGCGCCATGAGGCTATTGTTGACGAAGTGCGAATGAAGCTGCGGAAAGTGAGCACGATGGCCACACCATTGCCAAGTATTGCCAACCCAGTAGCAAATGCGGAGCCTCCTGCCAAGCGCGAGCCAAGTGGTATGGAGTTGATTTTCCAGCAGAGGAGCCAAGTCGAGCCAGCTGTGGAGCAGACCATTACTGTTGAGGAGGAGCTGGAACTGTATCTGGCAGTACGTCAGTTGGGTGTCACCAGTGACCACTTGCTCGGTGGTCAGCAAATGCCCCACGCTTCCCCACCATTGCAAGGCTAAGCCACAGGGTCTTGTGCGCACCTGCATCATCGACACCATCTGAGCGGACATTCTCCATTTCTGGTCATGTCGCTGAGCAGCACCGCTCATCGCTGACTGCAGAGAATGTCAATATGCTGGTGATGCTTAACCACAACTGGAGTCTTCTCATTGCTCCCAGTGCTTCAATCCAGCAGCTTCGACCAGCAACAGTGGAGGTAGAGTCAGACAAAGACTCATCTGAGGAAGACACACCACCACTCCCTGATGTGTAGATCAATACAGTTTGTCAACCATACAGTTTGACACATTTTTTGGAGTCTTTTTGAACTACACTGTGGCTCAATTTTCCACACTTGTTCTATATTGACTAATGTGCACTGTGATTGTGTATGTGTGTGTGTGTGTGTGTGTGTGTGTGTGTGCGCGTGTGCGCGCATGTGTGTCTGTGTGTGTGTCTGTGTGTGTGTGTGTGTGTGTGTCTGTGTGTATTCTTCTTCTTGGTGCAGACTGACAGATGGTGGTTGCTGAAAACTGGCTTCCGCAGGGAGCCAAACACACGGGAGGCAGCCGCAATTCTGGAGGAAATGGCAATAGAATACCGGCCAGATACATCGATGATAGACCCAAGGTAGCGAAACTCCGTTACGCACTCGATCTGATTCGAACCAACACAAACAGGGGCGAGGTCCTCATCAGAAATGTCTCTGCCAATCACCATGAACTTGGTCTTGGAGAGACTAACTGTCAGTCCAAACTCGGAGGCGACTTCATCGAATGTCACTGCAGCTCGCTCGAGCCCCGATCGAGATGTCGCAAACAGTGTGGTGTCATCCGCAAACTGGCATTCAGTTACGGTTTCTGACACTGCTGTGCGGCGGGGCTTCTGCATTAGCTGACCATTGATGTTGTAGCGGATATCGACACCGAAGCCATCCACGCCTTCCATCCGCTGCTTCCAGGTATGAAAGACAGCAGCCATGTACAGGTTGAAAAAGACTGGTTCCATGGAGCAGCCCTGACACAGGCACCAAGAAGAATATCTTCAATACGTGCGTTGTCACCATCCTGCTGCACGGAGCTGAGTGCTGGGTACCGCTCTAAGCCGGCATCCGGAGGCCCTCAACGTTCTACATGCAGTGTCTGCGTACCGTTCTTGGCATAACAAGGTTAGACGCCTGGCAAAAGTGGATCAGCAATGATCAGTTGCTGGACATGTGGGGCGACAAGCGCCCACTTGCTGTCCGGATTCGCCAGCGACAACTTGAGTGGCTGGGTCATGTTGCTCACATGCCACCTGAGCGCATCCCGAAGATTCTGTTGTTCGGTCTGCTCCCTTCCCGCTGTCCACCTGGCTGTCCAAGCAAACGCTGGAAAGACTGCATTAGTGCAGACCTGAAGGCCCTGAATTCTGTGGAGGGATGGTACGATCTGGCAGATTCTCGCCCCGACTGGCGCCGCATGTACCGCTGTTTGGAGCCTGAGCTGCCCACACCCAATTTTCATTGCCAAGTATGTGATCGGTACTTCTCTCTCCCATCAGATGAGAAGCGTCACGAATGCTTGGTAGAACGGCAGAAGCAGGTGTGTAATCAGGCTGGCGCTTGCTAGTGCCGTCTCTGCCAACGTTGGTTCCGCAGCCCCAGTGGATTGGCTACCCATCGGTGCGATCACGGACCTGCTCCCAACATCGAGCACCCAGGCAACCCGGTCACTCCGCAGTGCAGCACCTGTCACCGGGGTTTTAAATCCAGCAGGGGCTTGGCCAGACACAAGTGCGACCGCACAAAACGAAGGACAGTGTCGGAAAGGGCCGACTTCCCGTTTGAGTGCCCTTGCCAAAGGAAGTTCCGACTACGTCACCATCTAGTACGCCATCAGGAGTGCTGCTCCTCAGCCTCTTCCACCCCTCTCCCCTGACGGGGATCGTGTAACCTATCAAGGCAACGTGTATCAAGGTCAAGGTGTGTGTGTGTGTGTGTGTGTGTGTGTGTGTGTGCGCTGTGTGATTTCGCACCAAGACATGAAGCGTCACGAGTGCAGCCGTGGCTTGGCCAGAGCAACCAACCCAGACCGTAGCTCCTTCTGTATCGTTTGCAATTGCTGTCGGCGTTTCAGTAGACCACAGGACCTATCCCGTCATCGCCCCTACTGTTCCGAACCTGCTCCACCCCCCATGGAGTCCGCATAGCCAAACTATGGCAGCACGTCCAAGGTCCAAGGTGTGTGTGTCTGTTTGTGTGTGTGTGTGTGTGTGTGTGTTTGTGTGTGTGTGTTTGTGTGTGTGTGTGTGTTTGTGTGTGTCTGTTTGTGTGTGTGTGTGTGTGTTTGTGTGTGTGTGTTTGTGTGTGTGTGCGTGTGTGTGTGTTGTGTTTTCTCTTGAGAGAGGAGGAAGCAGTTTTTGGGGCTCCGAACTCTTCTTTCTTCGTAGTGAGTTTAGGGCCACGGGCTGGCTCCTGGCTTCTGCCAGGGCCAGCCCTGGTGAGTAGAAAACACTTAGTGACGCGGTGTTAGACAAGGCAGTCTTCATCTTGCTGCCGCGGAGGAGGAAAAATTCAGCGTTGACGACATGGCCACTTCGGATGTGACCACTCGCGCTGACCCTCTTTCGCCTGGGTGTAGAGGTCTTGCAAACCCTCGCCCAGAGTCTTTTCACTCGCGTGCACCAGCGGCTCGAAAGGTTGTTCTGTCTCTGGGAACGTGGAACGTCAGGACTCTTGTCGACACTGACGGAAATTTGACGGAAATTTGAATACGGCGTCCAAAGCAAAAAAATCAAGGAAAGTTTGTTCGAATATTCGCGAGGAGAGAAAAATTGACCTTGTGTGTCGGCAGCTCAAAAAGTATGGAATGGACATCGTTGGCCTCCAGGAGACGCTTTGGTTTGGCTCTCATCAATATACTGTCGGAGATTGACATATCCAATTTGCAGGTGCGGAAATGGTGGGGCGACTTGGAGCAGCCGGCTGACAAGATTCGCAGGCGGCGGCTGCAGTGGCTGGGCCATATGGCACGTATGCCGAGGGGCGACCGCATCCCTCGTCAGCTGTTGTTTGGCTCCTTGCCATCGAAGCGCCCGCCCCATGGTCCGAGGAAGCGATGGAAGGACGTGGTGCGGACCGACCTGGCGGCAATTGGCATTGAGCCCAATTCCTGGCTCGACGTGGCAAGTAATCACCGTGAGTGGAGGTCTCAGTGCCTTGATGGGGTGGATCGTATTGTACTTGCCCGTCAAGAGCCTGTCGACAAGCCTCTGCTTTGCGGTGTGTGCAACCGCAGTTTCCGCCGCCGTCAGGATATCGCACGGCATCGTTGTACATCGCGGCGTTCAATAGCAATTATAACCCGTGGGAATGCGCCGTCACGTCAGTCGTCGGGTCCTGGTGCCGCTTCCCGGAGACAGCGCTAATCCAAGAGCTGCCCCGTATGGGGCCACTTAGCCAGTCATGGCAGTGGAGAAGAAGGAAGGAAGGTGTGTGTGTAATACTGTGTATGTGTGTGTGTGTGTGTGTGTGTTTGTCTGTGTGTGGGTGTATGCACTGCACAAGCATCATAGCATAATACTTATGTGTAAACATTTTCACTTACCATTCTATGTAAAGGTATATGAACACTGACCACACATAAGATGCCTAAATAACTACTTGAAAATGGCAAAGAATATTCGGAAAATTCTTCGTTGCGCAACATACCGTAAAGTCTTGTATAAAAGCCCCTGTTTCTATGACTTTCTTGTTGAAATTTTGAAGGCTTCTATACGAGACAGGCTTCTATACAAGACAGGTATTTCTATGTATGTCAACACTAAAACCAGGCTTATGTGTGATTAGATGGGCCCAAAATTGCAGCTTCTATTCAAGGGCGGCTTCTATTCAAGTGCAGCTTTTATACAAGACTTTGCGGTATTCGTTTGGAATATTCTTTTCGCTTCGTTTGGTATTCGTTCAGCCCCACCTAGTGCATGTAAGAATTCAAATCAATGTGTATCGGTACGACATACTCTGACAAGGTGTACAACTCGTGCTTGACGGATACGGTGGCACAAGGTACGGAGTGCACGATGGCTGATTTATGCCCTATTGGCTAGCCCGAGGTTGCGCACCGTGGTCCAGGAACCATTAGGCCCCCGGGCTACGGTACATAACTGAGGGCTACGGTACATAACTAAGGTTACACACATGACTGAGGGCTACGGTACATGAATGAGGGCTACGGTACATGACTGAGGGCTACGCACATGACTGAGGGCTACGCACATGACTGAGGGCTACGCACATGACTGAGAGCTACGCACATGACCGAGGGCTACTCACATGACCGAGGGCTACGGTACATGACCGAGGGCTACGCACATGACTGAGGGCTACGCACATGACCGAGGGCTACGGTACATGACTGAGGGCTACGCACATGACTGAAGGCTACGCACATGACTGAGGGCTACGCACATGACTGAGGGCTACGGTACATGACTGAGGGCTACGGTACATAACAAAGGCTACGCACATGACTGAGGGCTACGCACATGACTGAGGGCTACGGTACATGACTGAGGGCTACGGTACATGAATGAGGGCTACAGTACACGACTGAGGGCTACGGTACATGACTGAGGGCTACGCACATGACTGAGGGCTACGCATATGACTGAGGGCTACGCACATGACTGAGGGCTACGCACATGACTGAGGGCTACGTACATGACCGAGGGCTATGCACATGACTGAGGGCTACGCACATGACCGAGGGCTACTGTACATGACCGAGGGCTACGCACATGACTGAGGGCTACGATAGATGACTGAGGGCTACGGTACATAACTAAGGCTACGCACATGACTGAGGGCTACGGTACATGACTGAGTGCTACGGTACACGACTGAGGGCTACGGTACATGACTGAGAGCTATGGTACATGACTGAGGGCTACGGTACATGACTGAGAGCTATGGTACATGACTGAGGGCTACGCACATGACTGAGGGCTACGCACATGACTTAGGGCTACGCACGTGACTGAGGGCTACGCACATGACTTAGGGCTACGCACATGACCGAGGGCTACTGTACATGACCGAGGGCTACGCACATGACTGAGGGCTACGATAGATGACTGAGGGCTACGGTACATAACTAAGGCTACGCACATGACTGAGGGCTACGGTACATGACTGAGGGCTACGGTACCTGACTGAGAGCTATGGTACATGACTGAGGTCTACGGTACATGACTGAGAGCTATGGTACATTACTGAGGGCTACGCACATGACTGAGGGCTACGCACATGACCGAGGGCTACACACATGACTGAGGGCTACGCACATAACTGAGGGTTACGCACATGACTGAGGGCTACGCACATGACCGAGGGCTACGCACATGACTGAGGGCTACGCACATGACCGAGGGCTATGCACATGACTGAGGGCTACGGTACATGACTGAGGGCTACGCACATGACCGAGGGCTACGCACATGACTGAGGGCTACACACATGACTGAGGGCTACGATACATGACCGAGGGCTACGCACATGACTGAGGGCTACGCACATGACTGAGGGCTACGCACATGACCGAGGGCTACGCACATGACTTAGGGCTACGCACATGACTGAGAGCTACGCACATGACCGAGGGCTACGGTACATGACCGAGGGCTACGCACATGACTGAGGGCTACGCACATGACTGAGGGCTACGCAAATGACCGAGGGCTACGCACATGACTGAGGGCTACGCACATGACTGAGGGCTACGCACATGACTGAGGGCTACGCACATGACTGAGAGCTATGGTACATGACTGAGGGCTACGGTACATGACTGAGAGCTATGGTTACGTACATGACTGAGGGCTACGGTACATGACTGAGAGCTACGGTACATGACTGAGGGCTACGGTACATGACTGAGAGCTATGGTACATGACTGAGGGCTACGCACATGACTGAGGGCTACGGTACATGAATGAGGGCTACGGTACATGACCGAGGGCTACGGTACATGACCTAGGGCTACGCACATGACTGGGGGCGGTACATGAATGAGGGCTACGGTACACGACTGAGGATTATGGTACACGACTGAGGACTACGCACCCTGGCATACGACAATCCAAGTACGCGTACGGGCATGCGTTTAGCCATCATGCCCACCGCACGGTGTGTGTTTTATAGTTACATGCCACATGCTTAATTGGTAGACAAGCAAACTTATTCTGGAAAACTGGGTGAACGGAGGAGGAAGATCAATCACAAAAAGAACGAAAGGAATGAAAGATCTAAAGCAGCTGTCTCTGTGGAATAATTGAAGACCTTGTATCAGATTTAATTGCAGTTCATATTGCCTCTTGAAACTCGTTGCCGCAGTGGACTGTTAGGCAACTATCGTAAGTTATAGGTCCTTTTTTCTTACCGATTGCCAATTGTTTTTGTATTTTTGCAAGGTACAGAACTCGGCTGCAGGCACATGGGGCTAGCATGGGGTGAGATGGTGCTGGTGGGGCCTTCCATGCTCAACCGACCAGAGGTCTCGGCACCTTCGAATGGCGGGTGCACCAAATTGAGAGAAAAGCATAAGCATACGTGTCATTCTCTTGTCCCATTGTTAACTAAATTATTTCTCCTGTATCGAGAGTGCTACTATTATGCTATTAAAGTATTATTGTTTTGCACGGTGCGCGTAAGTATTTTCGTTTGGTGTGGAGTGGATAAGTGCATGTAGTGTCCTTTGGGAATGATCCAATGTGTTCCATGTGCGTTGGTAATACTGCCACCTTACCTGGTCACTGTTCTAAAGGCATGGTCTTGTACATTATTGACAGTGCAGGCCATAGAGCAGGGGTCATTCCTAATTGGCACATGTACACTGCGCCCGCGTACAAGCGACAGATAACAGTGCAGCAAACTTGGACATATCGGAGTGCAATAAAACAGTCCAAGCGTTTTGCTTTACTGCACATTTATCGTATTGGTGTTACTGCATGAGTCAACTTTGGACAAGATATAGCCCCGGATACTAAGTAGCTTTTCACCACCCGGAGAGGTGACATTATAATCCGAGTTCCACTATTGTATGAAGATGTTGGCTATAGTATGTTGCAGTTCTTGCCTTCCTTCCTTCCGACTGACTTGACACTGAACTCACTCACCACAGCATACTATGCCCCACGTGCTTTACTGCTAGTTCAGCAGCCCCTACAGATAGCCGTTCAGCATTGTTCTTTCTTCTCTTTCTCTGTGCTTTTTCTTGCTTCTCTGTCTGATTTTGCCATTCGTTAAAACATGGACTGTTTCTGGATGGTAATTATCGTGGACGCACGGGCTCCTGACTGCAGTTGTGAGTCACTCAAGTCTCAATTCAGTCGAGAGGAAGCGGAAAGGTTCGGAGCAGCCACCTTCTTCACATGCAACCGCCGACTTGGCAACATCTTAGTTCGGGGAGGGGGGCTGATTAACTTCACCAACATTCTAACAACAAAATTTGACGGCCAGCTACCTTACAGTTCGAGAGCGGTCCCAGTGACGATCCAACTGCAGAAGATTGCGGCAAGAAACCAGCGGCAGCTCTGAACTTGCTGGAAAGCCAGAAAGGTTCGAAAACTCAACTACAATGTATACTTGTAGACAATTGACAAGATTGCACACCTGCCTTTTCACAGCTGTCCAAGTGACGAAAACTCAACTCGTGGTCTTGCGTTCTATGTACAGTAATCAAGCACGCTCAGGATCTAGGAGGTCATGATTGCTGAATCTTGCCCGAGCCTGCAGTCCAAGGGCCGTAGTCCCGAGGGCTGCAGGCAAGGGCAAGATTCAGCCATCATGACAGAAAGAGCGTGCTTGATTTGATTTCTTACAGCACAAAGCAACATATTAGGGAAGGTCAAAGGTCGAAAGGTCGAAAAAATTATTCCCGAAATGACGTCAAAAGGTCCTCAAACTCCCGAAATGACGTCAAACGGTCCTGATGGCATGATTATGCCCGCGGCGGGAAAAGACCGCCTATTGGCCATGGTCCCGGCAACGATCACGTGTCATGTAAGAAACCTACATCATCAGTACGTACATGTACATGATCTTCTACATGTCCGAAGCCTTTTGGAAAGGCTTCCTGTTTGAAGCCTTTCCATACTGGTACTCGATGTTCCAGTTTTGTGACACGAGAATGGCACGAGAATTTGTGTACCGTACCGCTGAGTGTACCGCTATACACGTGGTCGATACGTTGTCCACACTTTGTTGATACTTTGTTGGTCTGTGTTGTGAAACCACAAGTTCTCGAGAGTGAAAGGCCTTCTCGCTTGTGACATTGTGTTCGTTCCAATGCAGCTGTATCCCGACTCCGCCGTACCGCTGATGTTTACGACTTGGCATACGCTACAGGCGCTATGTGCGGTTTTGCTGTGTGCGCTGTTGTTGTATGTGGTATGTGTATGCTTTTCTCATATACGCTGTAATTTGCACGCTATAACTACCTGGTGGTTTTAGTGTTAGTTCATTCAGTTGTTCCATTCATTGTTCATTGTTAATTATTCGATGAAGTGAAATATACTGTGTGAAGGAAAAGAGTTGTCCTCGTGCCGTGTGGTCGTACGATCCTGACAATTTAGAGAATCTCAGAGGGTTCATAACATTTGGCGACCACGCCAGGATACGAAGCGAGCATGGCACAGGAACTATGGATCATTGAAGCCAGCTTTATCGCTAACGGAATTCGGTATGGATTTGAAGGCGATAGGTTGAGAGAATACGTGGAGAAGAAGCTCCGACAGAGCGAGGAGTTTGAAGAGCGCATTGCTAGATGGCAAGAGGGTGCGCTCCGCACAGAGTTTAACGAAAAGCTCAAGAAGATGGACGAGCGCATCGCCGTCAGTACATATTATGAGGGAGCAAAGCGAGATTTGCTTGCCTCACGCGAAAGGACGCCGGACAAGGCGTGGAAGACTTTGCTTACAGACAAGCAGCGGTCAGAGGAGTATTCGAAGCCAGTGGGAGGATCAGATCCAAGGCCCACTGGGTCGGTACAGTGCATGGCAACATCGGTCGGAGACGCTCAGAAGCAGCTGGAGTCTCGGCCGAACGACGTAGAGGCGCAAGACGTAGAGGCGCAAGACGTAGAGGCGCAAGACGTAGAGGCGCAAGACGTAGAGGCGCAAGAGTTGGAGGCGGAAGAGTTGGAGGCGGAAGAAAGAGTTAGCGTGGAAGACTTTGCTTACAGACAAGCAGCGGTCAGAGGAGTATTCGAAGCCAGTGGGAGGATCAGATCCAAGGCCCACTGGGTCGGTACAGTGCATGGCAACATCGGTCGGAGACGCTCAGAAGCAGCTGGAGTCTCGGCCGAACGACGTAGAGGCGCAAGACGTAGAGGCGCAAGACGTAGAGGCGCAAGACGTAGAGGCGCAAGACGTAGAGGCGCAAGACGTAGAGTCGCAAGACGTAGAGGCGCAAGAGTTGGAGGCGGAAGAGTTGGAGGCGGAAGAGTTAGAGGCGCAAGAGTTAGAGGCGCAAGACTTAGAAACGCAAGGCGTAGAAGCCGAGAAAATGAGAAGGGCGATACTACTGGTTAGCACGGAAGAAGTAAGCGGCGAGACTGTGTGGAACACAGAGATCCGATGTGTGTCCTCGGATTCCGCGCACGCCCCGGGTCGAAGCAGTGTACCGGTGACCATGGCGTGTGTGACAGCCCACATCGTCGAGCTTTATGACATTATCGGTTGTGTGTTGTCTGGTCCAGCGTCTGCCCCATGTCGAAGTGGATCGGTGACAGTGTCGTGTGTGACAGTCCACAGCGGCAAGTTTCGCGATGTCGAGTTTTCTGAATTGGTGGGCATTAGTGATATTCTACCATGGCCACCACCGCAGCAGCAGATGACGCTTAGTAAGCCCCAAATCGTTTGACTTGTGAGTTGTTGTACGGCGGTGAGAAGCCCTTTGGTGGGGAGAATGTTGTGAAACCACAAGTTCTCGAGAGTGAAAGGCCTTCTCGCTTGTGACATTGTGTTCGTTCCAATGCAGCTGTATCCCGACTCCGCCGTACCGCTGATGTTTACGACGTGGCATACGCTACAGGCGCTATGTGCGGTTTTGCTGTGTGCGCTGTTGTTGTATGTGGTATGTGTATGCTTTTCTCATATACGCTGTAATTTGCACGCTATAACTACCTGGTGGTTTTAGTGTTAGTTCATTCAGTTGTTCCATTCATTGTTCATTGTTAATTATTCGATGAAGTGAAATATACTGTGTGAAGGAAAAGAGTTGTCCTCGTGCCGTGTGGTCGTACGATCCTGACAATTTAGAGAATCTCAGCGGGTTCATAACAGTCTGCTTTGTGCCAATGCCACTCGGTAAACGCCGATGTTGCGTACGAGAAAGCCGTCGCGCGGCAGTCGCGCATAGTCATTGGCGGTCCGGACTATGCTCGGCCAATCGTCAAAATTAATATTACGCTTTTGATTATGCCACAATTATGCCAACAAATATGCTGAATTATGCTGAATTATGCTCGGTTCCACTATGTATTCACGCTGTACATAGAGGATTGAGAAACCACGCATACACACACCACCATGCCCTAAGCATAATTTTTGTCTAAACCGAAACATTATGCCGACCTTACACGTTGGAATCCGTATAATATTTATGCCGGAGCATAATTTTTTGACGAAATCCCAAGATTATGCCAAATATTATGCCGGCATAAACCGCCAAGGGCTATCACAAGGAGTCGTAACTCGTAACTGGGGTATTTAATAAAACACATCTGCAGGCTTTCTGACAAAGCTGTATTACGCCCCTAAGCATACTTTTAGTCTAAACCGAAAGATTATGCCGACCTTACACGTTGGAATGCGTATAATATTATGCCGGAGCAAAAAAATTTACGAAATCCCAAGATTATGCCAAATATTATGCCGGCATAATCCGCCAAGCTGCAAGGGCTATCACAAGGAGTCGCAACTGGGGTATTTGAAAAAAACACATCTGCAGGCTTTCTGACTGACAAAGCTGTATTATGCCCCTAACAAAGGCCTAAGCATAATTTTTGTCTAAACCGAAAGATTATGCCGACCTTACACGTACACGTTGGAATCCGTATAATTATGCCGGAGCATAATTTTTTGACAAAATCCCAGGATTATGCCAAATATTATGCCGGTATAATCCGCCAAGCTTGCAAGGGCTAGTCGCGCGACGACTATCCCGTACGCGAAATAGTTGAGAAATGCTGACGTGGACCTGACGGCAAGGAGAACTGGGAGGCTAGGAGGCCCCTTTCGGTACCCCTGAAGGGAAGGAGAACTCCAGAAGTCGAACGAAGAGGCCCCTTTCCATATCCCGTACTGCAAAGTGCCACTGAAGGTGTCTTCTGGACCTGGAACGGCCCCGTAAACGCTGACGCGTCGGCGAGAACTGCGAGGATGTCCCTTTCGGTACCCCTGACGTGACGGGAAGGAGAACTACAGTTGTTGTTGTTGTTGTTTGGCTTTATTCAGAGCTACCGAAGTCGACGAAGTCGAACGAGGAGGCCCTTTTCCGTATCCCGTACTTCAAAGTGCCATTGATGGATGTCTTCTGCACCTGGAACGGCCCCGTAAACGCTGTCGCGTCGGCGGACTGAATGCGCAGGGCGAAAAGAGTTGCTGCAAAGACTCCGCTCTAGGCTTGTTTCTACGCAATATGGCATGCGTTCTATTTCTTTCCTGGCGGCAGACAGATGGAATGCTCTTCCCACTGACTGCCGTCTCTTACACTGTATGTAAACATGGTAAAAATTCACCTAGGGTTCCCAGTAAAAAGGCAACGCCTGTTGGGACTCCCCTAGTAAAATAATAAAATCTACAACTGTACTACTACTACTCCGCTCTAGGCCTTTGGAGACATTTTGGGAACTCCTTCCGGTACCCCGTACCGCAAAGTGCCATTGATGATCGATGAATGCCTTCTGCAACTGGAACAGCCCCTAAACCTTTGAACGTTGTCGCCTCGGCGGCCTGAATGCGCAGGACGAAAAACATTGCTGCGAAGACGTCCGCTCTAGGCCTTTGGAGACATGGTGCCAGGGAGTTGTATAGACATACAACTCCCTGCATGGTGCGAACTCCTTCCGGGTGCGAACTCCTTCCGGTACCCCCGTATCGTAAAGGGCCATTGATGAATGTGTTCTGCAACTGGAACGGCCCCTTAAACTCAGTCCCGTCCGCCAACTGAATGCGTAGGACGAAAACTATCAAAGACGTCCGCTCTATACTAAAAAACAACAGCCACTGAAGAGGATAGCAATATCCTTGGTTGAATTTCCTACAGGTACATGTTGTTGGTAGGTCTACTGGTCGGTCTCCATATCGTCAAGTTCAGAAATCACCTGTACTACACATCTTGTAGAAGGGATCCTGATCGAATAATTTGGCCTAAGAATTCACTAGACTGAGGGCGAGACAAATAGTCAGTACTCCCCGATTCTGTCAAGCTGCTTTGAAGTCTGGATGCTCATGTGATGCTAACAAGCTTAGCAGCTTCACTTTCCCTGCGACAGCGGCTATCAACCTCTCTCTCCATCGTTGACACACACATTCAACATTCTACATTTATCAGCACTGCA